TGTAATTGTCAAAGGGCTGAGTAGAGCCCGGCATCCGGCCGGGGATCCTGCAGGACCTGCTGCCCCAATAGCAGGAGCCGGATAACAATTCAAGACACCGAATGCAGGGGTAGCTGTTGTGGGATGGGAGCAGGATTACAAAACGAGGCCTGTGCCGGGCTCTACGGCTGAGCGAGGCGGCAAAGGGAGATGTTCATCCCTTGGAAATAGCTGACTGTGTTAGGAAAAGCCTTGGGAAATCTATCCGGAGCTAGAAGGTTACAGGGTGTTGCTGTGCTGGTGGAGTGTATTGCTAAAGAACAGGCTGAAAAAGGCCTGAACACTAAAAGTCTAGGGAAAATAAAAGCAGACTGCCAGCCCACCCAAATGTACGATGCAAACAAGTAGAGGAATATAGGGGGTCCCCTTGGAAATAAAGCAGGTATAGGTGGGGCCCATGTGCAAGTCATTATGTGAATAATGAGTGGGAATGAGGTGAGAGCAAACCGTCCACAGCTGTGCAAATTACATTTAGAAGAAGGGCTTTATCTGCCAGGGTTATCCTAGGATAGGAGATGTTTTGGATGAAAGCATATATTCTGTTCCCCTTTGAGCTGTTATAAGTGCGGAAAGTTTGGAAACATGGCAAATGTGAGTAAAGGAAAAGCAAAGTGTGAGGTAAATGTGGAGGGGAGCATTCATATGTAGAAGGAGCAGAGCTAAAATGTAGCAACTGTGTGGATAAGCACAGTACAGCTTATGGAGGATGTATGGTAGCTAGACGCTCGGATACAAAACAAGGATTATCAACAAGATATTTTATGCAGAAGCTGCTAAAAGGTATTCAAAACAACATGTGGAGAAGGAGGAGAAAACCAGTAAGGGGAAGGTACATTGCTACAACATAGTGTCCTGTTTGCACTGCACAAACAGGAAAGAGAATGGAAAAAATAAAGATTATAATAAAAGGAGCAGAAAAGTATTTGCATGCTAGTAATTTGGCAATAGAGTGCATTCATGCAATTTTGAGAGAGGACGATACTGTGGTTTAACTAAATGGTGCTAAAAATGTTCTTGTTGGAATGCATAAAGCTTAAGAGCACATGGTCAGGAACTCGAAGACTTTTTTTTTTTAACTGAAGGGCAAACCTGATGTTCTGTGTACAGAAAACATTGTTAAAAGATGGAAAAGCTGTCTCTTAAGGTCCTAAGAAATAGCAGAGATAGATATGAGAGAGCGAGATGAAGGGGAGGGGGGAGGAGTTCATTTATAAAGGAAAATTTGAGTTGTATTGAAGTGCATGTAAAGAAACAGACTTTTGAGTATACTGCTACTGAGACACCAGTGCAGAATAAAAATACCTTTTTAAGGATGTATAATTACAACCCCTGTAAAGACTTGGAGAGCTCAGAATTAAGAGCCAACGAGTTCATATATTGAATGTGGAGATCTGAATGCCCATAACTAAGGCTGTGAATCTGTGATGGAGGTCACTGATTCTGTGATTTTTACGAGACCTCTGTGACTTCTTGAAAATTCCAATAATTCAGCCCCCAGGCGGCAGGGCTCGGGCTTCAGTAAATCTGTGATTTATAGTTTGTTGCCTGCATCCTCTCTGTGACTTTAATAAAAATACCTGTGCTAAAATTGTAGCCTTAGCCATAACGACCTATAGGGCAGTGGAAAGTCTGATAGCAATGGCAAGCATTTGGAACAGTCCATTGATGAGCACAATGTGGTAATACTAAACAATGGCGCACCAGCTACGTTTAGCTCAGTTGCTGGTTCGGATCTGGGAACTGCAACTAGCAATATAGCTAGTAAATATAGGTGGGAAATTTACAAGGAAGAGGGAATGGAAAGTGATCATTTCCCTAAGCTGCTTCTTATGTATGAAAGAGAGGGTGATATTGAAGACACTGGAGGAACTCCTGCTTGGAATTTAAAAGGGCCGATTAGGAGCTTCTCAGGAGTAAGTGTGAGGAGTGCTTGAGCAACAAGTGTGTAAGAGATAATAGAGAGGAATTCTGTGATAATGTAATAAAAGCAATGATGCAGCAGCCAAAGTAGATTTTTGTGAGATACTGAATTGCCTTAAAACCAGAACCCCGGTTCTGTGGTGGAATGAAAAATGTGAGATTGGAATTAAAAAAGAGAGACCGAAGGTGTATAGAAAAGCTGCAACCACAACGAACAGTGAGACTTCGAGGGCATCTAAAAGAAGTAAGGCAGTGACAAAAAGGGTTATGAAGAGGCCTAACAGAGTTGGAAAAAGTATTCTGGGAAAATAGATACCCAGGTGTCAGGGGTTTACCAGCAAATTAGGAGAGTGAATGGAACCTGTCTGTTTTTGGAGGAGGGATAGCTCAGTGGTTTGAGCATTGGCCTGCTAAACCCAGGGTTGTGAGTTCAATCCTTGAGGGGGCCACTTAGGGATCTGGGGCAAAATCAGTACTTGGTCCTGCTAGTGAAGGCAGGGGGCTGGACTCTATGACCTTTCAGGGTCCCTTCCAGTTCTAGGAGATCGGTATATCTCCATATATTTTTTTAACCTGGAGCAATAACAGTTTTATCCCTGGGGTAGCCGTGTTCGTCTGGATCTGTAAAAAGCAACAGAGTGTCCTGTGGCACCTTTAAGACTAACAGATGTATTGGAGCATAAGCTTTCGTGGGTGAATGCCCACTTGGTCAGATGCATGCATCCGACGAAGTGGGCATTCACCCACGGAAGCTTATGCTCCAATACATCTGTTAGTCTTAAAGGTGCCACAGGACTCTCTGTTAGTTTTATCCCTGATCTTATTGAAGAGGATAAAGTGATAAATTTGAACAAAGGAAAAGCAGAAATCCTAGCAAGTAATGAGGAGGCTCAAAGTACAGATTATTTTTTCGGGGAAAAAGAAAATTTCTCAAAGAAAATTGTGAGGTCCTTAAATGGTTGGGAAAATGCCAGTGTGCTGAATGAAAACTTCAGTATGCAGGAACTGAAACAAAGCTATAGATAAAAGGTTAAACACTCTTTCCCTGGCGCAGTATTTAAGCATTATATGACATATACCGATCTGAAGGGATTGTAAGAATTGTATTAAAATGATGTAAATGTATAGGGAAAAGGAGTAATAGCAGTAGAATGGAAGTGTGCGGTGATAGCTTGCCTGACTTCACAATTGGTACTATTATGAGAACAGCTGTCTAGACCAATTGCCCTCACAGTTTGTGTGGGGAAAGTTACGGAGAAAATGATAAATAAGAGGCTAGCTGCATATTGGGTGGAAAAAAAGAAATCCTAATAGTGCAAAGCAGTTTTAGGCAGGAGAGAGGCACAACTGATCATATTGTAAGATTAGAAACAGAAATACAAAAAGGTCTGAGGATCAGAGTATATGGTAACTGGGGGGGTTGGATGCTGAAAAAGCACGATATGCTATGGAGGGAGAGTTTATGTAAGTTGTCCATGATAGGGATAGAAGGAAGAATGGTCTGGTGGCTAAGAGATTTTTCTGAGTAAGAGGACCATACAGGTTAGAGCAGGGAAAGTCTTAGCAAGTATCTATAGTGTTGCCAATGGCACTCCTCAGGGGAGTGTTGTCAGCCCTACTTTGTTTAACATTATGATAAATGATCTGCCAAAAGGCATAAGGGCTTGAGTAGGTATTACCTTATTGTGGATGAAGCGCTATATGGGTTAAACACAGGAGAATTAAAGTGGCTGGAGAGAGATTCAATGAAGCACTCAGGGAGGTCTCAGAATGGGGAGAAGCTTGTGGAGTTCAATTTTCACTAGCTAAAACAAATGGAACGATCATCATTAGAAGAAAGATCAATTACGCTCATCTTTGATATCTTACGGAGAACGGGTGCATGCAGTCGTTTTAAAATTCTGGCTGTATAGTTTGGCCCTTCCAAGTCAGCTTATTATCACATAGAAAATATTACAAACAAATGCAAAGGGTTTGGTATGTATTGACTAGACACAAAGATGGGTTAGGAAACACTTCAGGTTAAAAGAAACATCTGATCCCCTGATATGGGAATGCAGGGAGTGGTTCCAGGAAAGAAAGGTTCTTCATGAAGAATTTAGACCAGGGGTGGCCAGAGGTTGAGCAGTGAGCACCCCCCCGGAACATTGGAAATTTGGCGCCTGTAGCTCCAGCCCCGGAGTCGGTGCCTATACAAGGAACCATCCCTGATTTAGATGCTTTAAGGTGAGACTGCACTATGGGCGGTTTAGTGAGAGGATTGGGAAAGTGGGGTAACTTTAACAAAATGTGCAAACTCAGTAGCTGAGTCTGCTTTGCTGTAAAGATGGGTCCCTGAACTCCTGTCCTGCCCCCTTGGGATCCATCCCTGGCCCCAGGGTCAGAGCATGGGTGGGGCTGGGAGCGCAGCCTGGCCCCAGGGACTTGTTCCTTCCTCGTTATAGGGGTTTAACTCTCACCCCAGGGACATGTCGCATGTGGGGAAACTGAGGCACGGAGCAGGGCAACAACCTGCTCAAAGCCATCCAGCAAGGGAATGGCAGAACTTGGGATAGGACCCAGGGGGGCCAGATTCAGACCCTGCTTTACCTAGTAGACCACACTGGAAGGGAACGTAGCCACTTGTTGGGTAGAGCATGGCTTTTGTTTAACAGTAAACACCAACGCTATGTAACCATTCGAGGGAGGGAATTAAGAAGAGACCCTGGTCCTCCGGGGGGGGAGGTAAGGAGGCAGACTACACTTACCAAAGTACTATTATTCATCATGTTTATTGCGGTAGGTGCTGTACAGCCACAGAGTGGCAGGGTCCTAAACAGCCCAGACAGACCTAGGGGTGGGGGCAGAACACGCAGAGGGAACAATGGGGTGGTGACAAGTGCGGTGTAAATTCCATTATTATTATTATTGGTTTGGAAGGTGGGTTTCGTTAGGGGGGGGCTCAGCCCAGGGAAGGGAGGGGGGCGCGGGGAAGGGCCGCCGGGGGGGGGGGGGGGGCTGGAGCAAACAGCCAATCACAGGGCAGAGAAAGTCCAGTCAAAACTAGAAAGTTCTCTGATGGATCCTGCTCCTTCCAGCTGTTTCCCTGGTGCATTGTTTCCCCAAGGGCAAGACACTACAGTTAAGTTTCCATTTCAAGAATAATGACCTCTGTTGCTCTGGGGAAAACATTTCTGCTAGAAAGGAAGGATGGGTTTGCGGTTAAGGCACAGGAATGGGACAGGGGAGAGCTGGTTTCAGTTCCCAGCTCTGCTTCAGACGCTCTGTGGGACCTCGGGTAAGTCACGGAATCGCTCTGGGGCGTCAGTTCCCATCCGTACAGCGGGTGACCATGGGGTCCTGCCTCACAGGGGCGTTGTGAGATACAGACACTGAAGAGTGTAGATAGGATGGTAACGGAGTCTGAGTATCTGAGAGAGAACCCACATGCCTTGCTGCTGCTGTTTAGTGCCCTCTGGGGAGGAGAGGTATAAAGCCCGGGAGGGGAAGGATAAGCTTTAGCCCTGGCTAATAAAAGTGTATTCCCCACGCAGGCTTGAGGGCTCCATTTTGTATGGCAGTAGCACCTACAAGCCCTAGTGATGGACCAGGATCCCGTTGTGCAAGGCGCTGTACAATCCCCGAACAAAAAGACAGTCGCTGGCTATTCCACAGCTGATACGCAGCCGCTGAGCCCTCTCCATGCCGTTGCTACGTCAAGCCGGCCTGGTGGAATCAGGGGCCGCCGAGGAGCCCGTCCCTGCAGTGGGAAGTAGGTCACCACGCTAAATAATTAAGGACACAGCTGTGCTTAGGCTGAGGCTGGCCTGAAGATGCTGACGTGACGAAAACCAGAGCTGCTCGGTATCAACCTGAGACGTTGTCAATAAATAGACTGCCCGGCTCAGTCAGGCGGCTGGCGTGTCCTGCTGCGAGAGCTGGGACTCTAGACCGCATTCCTAGTGCACGGACACTTTCCTACTCCCCTCGCCCCTTCGCTCCCAGGCTTTCCCCCAGAGGCTGGGACAGGGGAAGGAAGGTGAAGCCACCAGACTTGGCGTAAGGGGAAGAAAAGCTCTTTGGCGTTTGAAAGCATTGAGAGAGGGATGCAGCGGCGCTGTCTAGTACGGGTAGGATCCCAAAGTTGTTGACAACTGCCAGCACCGAAATGCAGCCACCTCTGGGGGAAGATAACCAGCTCACAGCAGCCTGCGAAAGCAGGGGAATGAGGAGGGTGATATTAAGAATGAAAAGGGCCCTGGGATCTGCAGAGAGCACCCCTGGGGACGTCTCCACCTACAGACCCCATGCAGTAAAGGACGTGGAACTCAGTTTACCTACCCCCAGAAAAGGATGGGGGGAGTGAACCCTAGGAGTCTGTCGCTACAGGGTGTAGCCGCACACGGCTAGATCCCCAGCTGGTGCGAGTCAGCCGAGGGGCCTGTGTCACACCTCGGCTTGTTCTGCTGCTGTAAGGTCCAGGGGGCTGGAGGGAGGCTAGAAGTCTAGACTCAGGGGCTGGTACTGCCTTCCAGGCCAAGCTGGTGGGAAGATGCAGAACGAGCAGCAAGTCAGAGTGGTGAATTCAATTCAAAGGGAGGGACCTGGCAGGCTGTGTGTCGGCTTTACTTGCCAACTTGTGTCCTAACAAGTGTTTAAAGTGTCTTCATTCCAGCTCCTTAAAGACAGCACAAGCCTTTCTGAACGGCAGCACACAGGGGTTTCCTAAACAGGGGCCAAGGAGAACTGGAAATACATGCTGGGTGGTTGGGGGGACAGGACAGGCTGGAGGGGCGGAGGCGTCTTGCTGTGGCATTTCCAGTGTGGCTTTCTTAAGCTTTTATTTGTCGTTAAAACCAAGTTGCTAGCCCTGCTGCTGACCGAGCTAACCAACCCTCTGATGTAACTGGGGCTTCTGGAGTCTGCAGGTAGTTGGACACCATTCATTCCCCATTCAGCTCAGCAGGTGTGAACTCTGAGGCCTTAGGATGGTAGTTTACTTTATTATCGGAACTTTTTCACTACTGCTGGGCAAAGATCTGCACACGCTTACTGTCGCATCTCAAGTGGGCAGAGGTTGGGAAAGTAGCACTATTCACTTTCCAACCCCAAATCTAGTTTAAACACCAGACTCCAAGAGTGTTTGCACTAAGATGGAAGAGGCTATTTGAGATAAAGTGGATTTCTAACTAGAGATCTCCCAGTCACTAACAGATCCACTATATGGCATGGCATGGCACTAACTATGCCAGTAATAGGACTCTCATGCTTATTCTGCAAAAGCATAGACATTGACCACTAGAGCTAAAGGAGAATCTCCCTTAGCTGCTAGCACTACAGGGGCTGTGACACACAGTTGAGCAAGTCTGATTTCATCCACTAACAGGCAGTGGTACATTTTTATATAAACACTTCCTACATTACAATGTTTTAAAGGGAACCAGACAGCATCGGTTTTAACTGAAAATCCAGACCCTCCGAATTCAATGTTGCTTCTGCAACATGCAAGCTATCAGACCAGCTCAGAACAAGTGTCTGAAGTTCATTATCCTGCTTGTGGCACCAGCCCACATCTAGTGCTTAGAGGGGGGAAAAATTAACCCTCCTCCTGTATTGAACCCAGCCATTCTCTGCTAGGAGTGATGGTTTCTGAGCCCCTCCAGCAAGCTGGTATCCTCACGTATATCACCTCTACACTCCAAGCCCCAAAGAGCAGATCCCGACTCCCCCAAGTCCAAGAGTGTGTGGACTGGAGGATTGGGCTGTGGTATTCCAAGCTATGGGGCTCAGGGCTAGAGTCTGGCTTGGAGGTTGGATTCAAGCCCCTTTCTCACTTTTTATTAGTTATAAGAGAGAGGGCAGATGGCCCAGTAGTCAAGGTGCTGCCCTAGGACATAGGAGCCCTAAGTTCTATTTCTTGCTGGCCCCCAGGCTCCCTGTGCCTCAGTTCCCCCTCTGTAGAACAAGGATAAGAGCATAGCCCTGCCCCCCAAGGGCATAGGGAGGTGCTTGGTTACCATGGAAATGGCATAGCAATACCATAGATAAAATCACTGCTCCTTCTCCGATTGCTTGGCTCTGAAGCTGTGAGTTCACCATGCCCAGTGCACTGCCTGTCTCCTGTATATCACACCACGCCAGGAAGCTGGCCAGCAGCTATGCAGCACCCCCTGCCAAAGGGGACTTTTCCAGCCTGGCATCCCCCTCCAAAGCTCTTCCCTGAATGGGCCCTGACCCCGTTCAGCTCCATCTCCAGTCCATAGGGCAGGGATTCCAAGGCAGAAAGAAAAATGAGTGTCTGAAATTTAACTGCCCCGGGAGTGGGGGTTTTAGGCTGGTTTGGTTTTTAAGGCCAATACAGGGTGTGGGTGGTGTTTAAAGGACAAAACATTCACACCCTCTTAAAAAGGGAACCAGAGGGCTTAGAGCAGAGGAATCCTGGGTTCTAGTCCCTATTGTCCCACTGATTTGCTTGGCTAAGTCACTAATGTTTCCCCAGCTTTAAAATGGGGTCCTGCTTTCCCACATTGGTAAAGGGCTTGGAGATGGCTAAGAGGAGTATTAGGAACAGTGCTTTCGTTTGGGGACCCGTCAATATCTCCAGCGGCTGTCCTCGGACTTTCTTCGGTGCAAGGTGAAACATTTCCAGCTTCTGCAGCCTCTCCTTGGAAGTCAATCCTGACTCCGCAGCGAATGGCTTCGACTGCCCACCGCTGGTGCTTTTCCTTCTCAGATGTATCCTTCTCTAAGGTGCAACAGTTGATGACATCAGCATCAAAGCAGCAGAGGAGAGCGCTTATGCTAACACGCAAGGAACTGCTCGGGATATGCTCATTAGCAAGAGAGCACACACGCCCCCAGGCCTAACCCCCAGCAATGCAGGAAAAAAGATTGAAAACAAGCTTGTTTGGAAATATATTTGCTGTAGCTTTTTATTTTACATGGGGAAACAACTAGCACAGGCTGCCCCTAAAGTGCAAAAGCAGAACAGAATATTTTACTGCAAACTGCAGGCAGTTTTTGAGCTCATGAGATTAAAATACATAAGCAGGATTCAAGTAAAAGAGACTGGACCTATCCAGATAACGAGAACATCCGTCATTACATTAGAAGGTTGTTTTTAAAATCCCTTGGAAGGGCTACAATGGGGTCTAGTGGCTCGAGCAGTGGACTGGCGAGCAGGGAGCTATTCTCAGCTCTACCACTGGCCTGCTGGGTGACCTTGGGCAAGTCACTTCCACTGCCCTGTGCCTCAGTTTCCCCAGCTGTAAAGGGGGTAATGAAGCAGACCTGCCGTTGTAACTGCTTTGAGATTTACAGATGAAAAGAGCTAGCTCTTTTTTAAATGCTCCTGCTTCAAGGCATAAGCTAACGGAGGGGTCAGGAGGAAACTTCCCCCATAGGGAGGTTATTCCATTTTTGGCCACTGGGGGTATCCTTGACCCCTTCTCCAGAATGTTCCCTGCTCCCCTCAGAGTGAGACGTTCTTCCTGATCCCATTAGTCAGCATTTGGCTCGTGGCCTGAAGCAGAAAGCGTTTAAATATAGAGAGACTCTCGTATCGTAGAAGGCTTTACTATTCTAACTCAGCAGATCCTGGTTCTCCAGCTAAATGTCCAGTCCTTCCTTGGAGTCCTGCTCACCTCTTGGCTTCAGTGAGGTCTTGTGGCAATGGGTTCCCCTGACTAAGTAGGTACTGCATGGGGAAGAATATTCTGCGGTGTCACTTTTAAGTGTCCTGCTTTTGAATTTCATTGACCATCCTTTGTCCTCGTATTCTATGCAGTAGAGCGGGGTGGAAACTGGTGCTGGCCCAAGCCAAGCCCTGTTAGCAAAGTAGATTCAGAAAGGGCTAGATTCTGCCAACCTCATTCCCGCTGAGCGGCAACTTACTCGATATAACTAGCCCATATGGCTACTACTCGGCAGGAGTCAACTGACAGAATAATACGGCCCCTGGTGCGTTGGGATCTCAGGCTGTATTGAAGCCCACTGGCTCTCTCCAGTCACCCATCAGCAATTCAAAGCCATTCCCCAAATGACACGCCTGAAGGATGCACCTTCTCTTTCACCGGATGTAGCCCTCCAGAGGGAGCTGCAGATAATCCCGCAGAGCCGGGGGCAGTTTGAGTTCGGGGACGGCGGAATGGCACCGCGCTCCCAGGTGCTTTCGCACGGCGCAGCGCGCCAGGTGCTGCAGCTGACGGGGCTGGTTCGTCATCTGGAGAGCAGAGTCGTAAAACGTCTTGTGCTCCTGCCGAGATGGAAGGAGGATTAAAGGAGGCTCCGTCTATCACAGGGCTCGGCAGTGAGTACAGGGGCAAGGAGAGGCAGACACCAGCTGCTTCCGCACGGTTAGAGGCAGGTCTCCTACCCAGAAGCCCCTCACTTTAAGTCCCCCATCATGCACTCAATAAAGGCTGGAAATGAGAAGGTTTCTAGCCATCAGAGGGAGGTTCTGGAGCAGCCTCCAAGGAGAGCATGGGGGGGGGGGGGAGAAAACAACCGAACTCGCTTTAAGATGGAACTGGACAGACTTATGAATGGGATGATATGATGGGTAGCCTACGACAGCAGGGGCCTGGACTCGATGAGCCAGGAGGTCCCTTCCACGCTTATATCCCAGTCCTCTCTAGAACCTGGAGGATCAAGAACTCTATGGGCATTAACTCCACATCTCCTGTTCTTTGGAACCTTTCCCCAGCCAATGATCTCACCAGTATGGAGCTGTGTTTGGGAGCCACTGATCTAGTCCCCTTGACCAATGCGGGATTGCAGCTGAGAGGGGATTTCTTTATCTGGACCAGTTTTAAAAGTCCCAAGCTATGGAGATGGTCCTGCAGCCACAGATCCCACTGTCTGGTCCCCACAGGCGAGTTGCCCAAAGACCCAAATTCTCAAGGTTACGCAGAATACGTGCCATACAGATGTGTACTAGGATGGCTAACGTGTCGCCTACAGCCCCGAGCAGACTGAGCATCAGGCTGCATATTAGGCAGCAGTATCAAACCCTCTGTCCCCAGCAGGTACCTCCAGGGCAGCCCATGGCAGAAGCTTGCCCTGCTGCAGCTCCAGATGCACCTGATCTGGGGGCCAAGCCACCAGTCAGCCTCCAGATCCAAGCCCGCTGCACCTCTCCCCTGCTCTGTATCAGGACTTTACCTGCCACATCTCCGGAGGCACCACTTCCACCCAGGAATCGCAGGACGGGATCCGGTCGTAGGAATTCAGCACGACTTCCAGGGCACGAGGGGCCAAGGAGCAGAACTTCAGCATCTGAGAGCCAGGCGGGAGAGAGCAGAGGACAGGGGTGAACTGGCCAGGAGGGAGGAGAAATACAAGGGGGGGCGAGAGTGCCAGCAAAGCTAGAGGGAGCCAGAGACGATAGCGCAGTGATGTGGGCCTCAGCCCTAGAGCGCCGGGACTTCCTGCTGTCACAGGGTCAGATCCTAGCAAGGGAGGACTCAACTCTCCCTCCTTGCATGCACGATAGAAGGAGCAAACGCAAAGCTTGCCACGTGCACATGTTTCAGAAGGGACTTAAACTCCCATTGCACTGAGTGAAGGTCACCCTACACTGCTGTACCGCATGGCTGCATTTATTCTGTGCTGCCGTGTAGGGCTGTAGTTTGCAAAGGGGTTTGGGATCCTACAGGAAGGCTGTAGGTGCTCTGGGAATTGCCAGTATCCCACCTCTGATGGCTGGTTCCAGATACTTCAGAGAAAGATGCAAGAAGGGAGTGAATAGTAATGCTATAGATGCAGTTTCTTCCTAACCCCAGCAATTAGTGGCTGGTTTATGCCCTGAAGCATGAGCATGAACCCTTCTCCCTGGCACAAAGGGAGCCTTATACAGAATCAGGAGGTAGAGATAAAAAAGGCCTGTTAGCCCTCATCATCAGAACAACCATGGGTGGCGGGGAGGGGGGGTTAAAGGAGATGCATTTCACCCCCACCTCCCCCGGCTTTTACTTGTCTCTTGATGTCACCTTCAGCCAAACTAGACAATGTGACTTGTTTCTACCCGAGGAGTTCAATGCACCACACAAACATTACCTGAGCCTCACAACTCTGAGGAGTGAGAAATGGGGAAACTGAGGCACAGAGCCTCCTAAGTGACTTGCCAAGGTCACACAGGGAGCCTGTGGCAAAGCTGGGGACAGAACCCAGGAGTCCTGCTCTAACCATTAGACTCCACTCCCACCTCCCTCAGGAGTCCTGACTGCCAGGCAGTGATTTAGCCCCCAGGCCGTTTCCCTCCTTCACCTTGGGGTTGATGGCCGCCGCCCCGTGGTCCAGTAAGGTGGCGATGATGCTCTCGGGGTGCCCGTCCAGGTACTCCTCCACCGCCTGCAGGGCGCAGTCCATGGGCGTGTAGCCGGCGCAGTTGCTGACGTTCACGGCAGCCCCATGCCGGAGCAGCAGTTCCACCAGGCGGGGGTGGCAGTTGCCGCAGGCGTTGTGGAGCGGGGTGTGGTTCTTCCTGCCGGCCGTCCTGGCGTCAGCCCCGCACTCCAGCAGCCGCTTGGCCACCCTGTAGTAGCGCTCGGCCTCGGTGGGCTTGTCGGCGCTGGCGCAGGCAGCGTTGAGGGCCGTCTCCCCTTCCCGGTTCCGGTGGGCGAGGGCGGCCCCGTAGCACAGGTAGAGCTGCAGGTGGGCCTCCAGGCCGTGCTCGGCGGCCACATGCAGCGGGGTCGTCCGCCTGTCCCTGGTGCTCAGGTTCACCAGGGCCCCGTGCTCCAGGAGCAGCTCGGCGCACCTGCAAAACACACAGCCAGGCTCACCCTTCCCCAGCCCCCACCTCTGCTGCTCCAGGGTGCTTCAGCCTCCGGGCCGAGCCCTGGGGGTGGTTCTTCTCTCCCTCTCCCCAGAACTGCAGCTGCAGAGTTTCTTCCCTTCCCAAGCTGGGTTCAAGTCCCGTTGCTGGGGCACAGTGTGAACCGGTGCCACTCCCAGAATGACTTGGGGCTTTGATCTGCCTGGGGCCAAGCTCCATGGGAGGGGAGGGCTCCACTGGGCTGTCTATGGGGTGGCTCCTGGCTTCAGCACTAAGCCCTCGTCCCTTGCAGAGGGTGACTGGCAGGCAGCACTGCTGCAGGGCAAGCCCAGACTGCTCCCCGCCCACCAACCCCAGCAGGGAGCATGGGGTCCCCCCATGCTCAGGCCTGAGCCCCCTGGGGAATCCGGGCCGTCCCATGAAAACTGGGGCCCGCATCCTCGGGGCAGGGCAGGGAGCAGCAGACAGATTCCCTGGGGCAGCTCTCTACCATTCACACCACGTGCCTCCATCCTGCGCCAGAGGGAGCTCTCCTAGGGGACATTCAGTCTCTGTGGCCCATACAGCCCTCAGTCTCTCTGCTGACCAAGGGGGGTCAGCTGGGATCAGAGGGCGAGTCGGGCTGGCAGGCGCTGCTTGGCTGAGCAATTGCTTTTTCCTGGAAGCTGCAGCTCGCGCTCTGCAATCTCCACTTTCACTTAAAAACAAAACCAAGGCCAAGATTTTCACAAGGCACTGGTGGGGGGGGGGGGGGGGGTTTCCCAACTGACACACCTGGCAGAGCGCTGATTTTCAGAGGGCATGGTCTGGAAGCCAGGCCTCCTGCAAGGGCAGCTCAGAGACCACCCACAAACCAGAGGTGCCCACGTCACGGGGTCACGTCATCCCTAGACTTTTGGCCCCACGCCTCTAGCCCTGACCATTGGGAATAGAATCGTCGAAATACGAACCGAGGCAGCAATGTCTGCAGACAGCCTGAAACAATAGCTCAGGGAGGTACGACCCATCTCGTTAACTCTGAAGACTAGTGACAACTGGTGAAATGAGACCATTTACCTCTTTTGCTACTGATCTAAGCTGGGCATAGTGTGACGATCTAAGGTGGAGCCTTGTGTTGATTTCTCCAGTGTGGGTGGATCTCTGCCTGTGGGCAGAGCTTGGGGGAGCGACATTTCCCCCCCTCCCAAAGTCCAGCTAGTTTGCAAGTCGTTGACCTGCCTGCCCTATAGATCTCTATGGGTTAGGGTAGAAATTCCCCTTCAAGACATACCGCGCCCTGCCCCCACCCCACACTTACCGCAAGGTCTCCGGGGAGGTGCAGAGATGCAGTGGGGCCAGCCCCTCCTCTGACAGCACGTTGGCGTTGGCGCCGTAGCTCAGGAGCAGCTGGGAGCACTCGGCACGCTGGTGGATGCAGCTGTCATGGAGGGCGGCCTTCCCGCCCACCACGGCGTCGACCTCTGCTCCCTGCAGAATCAGGTGCTTCACGCAGTCCCGATAGCCTCGGGCCGCCGCGATCCGCAAGGGGGATGTGTGCTTCTTCTGAGGGCTCAGGACCCACAGCCCTGTGGGGGGGGAGGGAGGGAGGCGGGAAGGGGAATCTCAAAAAGCCCTGCGCTGGTGTTCCACTCACAGTCATTAATCGAGTCTGCCAACCTCGACTCTGACCATAATCCACCCTCCTGCCCCCAGGACTTCCCGGAATTCATCTGTGTGACCCGGCCCCAGCAGAGGGCTGGGCACACACGTGATTTCAGGGTCACAGCGAGGCAGGGGGAAGACGGCACAGAGAACCAGAGCAACTTGCTCAAGATCTGAGGTGCAATGGGGTTTAGGGGCCAGGGTGTCAGGGAACCAGAGCTCTGTTCCTGGCCCTGCCAGGGCATCTTTGCCAACTTTCTGCCCCTGTGTTTTCCCCTCCCACCACTTATGTGCCTTGGCTATTTAGCCTACAGACTCTCCAGGACAAGGAGTGACACCGACTATATGTATGTACAGCACCTAGCGCACAGACCCACATTGCAGCTGGCGCGTCTAGGTGCTACCGTAATACAAATAAATGAACGACAACAACTGCACAGCAACTAAGTGGCAGAGCTGGGACTGGAACCCAGGATTTCTGCTGCCCAGCCCCTGCTCTCCAGGAGAAGTCACGTGTTCTGGAACGAGCAAGGAACTCAGGAAACCCCGGGGGCTTTCGCTGAACTCTGCTTGGCTCCTTTCTGCCGCACTTCGAGCGAAGCCTCAGGAACCGACACATCCTTGGGAGCACAAGTTCTGTGGCTCTGTTGGGGGGGTGGGGGATCATTTAACTAGGGCAGCAGGGGAGAGGAAAGCAGCACTCAGCCCTGGGTTTGTTCCAGCCACAAGCCTGGATCAGAAACCCCACCTACGTACCCAGCTCTGCCGACCACATCAGCTCCTCGCTGACCGTCTCCACGATCACGTTCGCGATGGCCTCGTCTTTGAAGATGTTCTTGATGGTCTGCAGGTCCCCGGTGTACAGGACGTTGTGGACGGCAGGGTCCCGGCAGTACCGGGGACGCCGGGCGGGCTTGGGGAGCAGGGAGCTGCTGGTGGCTGGTGGGAACCTCCTGGTCAGGCACTGCCTGGAGAGAGCCCTCCGGCGATCCTCCCACTCCAGCCGCTCTCTCTGCAGGCGCAGCGCGCGCAGGGTGGAGGAAGTGAACGCAAAGGTCTCCCTAGACATTGTCTTGGCTCCGCGGGATGGGGCCTCCTTGCCTCTGGGACGGGCAGCAGATTAGTGCCCCCTGCCACCTCCTCAGGCTTGTAAATATGGGTATGACCAGAAAACCCCTCCCCTTGTTGATTCAGAAGAGCAAGCCAGGCCATGCTATAAATAGAGGGGATACTTACCAGGGCAGTCAGCAGAAGTTGGTGCAGGGTCATGTTCTATCCAGGGCCGGTGGCGTTTAGAGGCATTAACCTGTTGCTGGGTGGCAGGAGTTTAAGCAGAACAAACCTACAGCAGCCCGGGGAGAGTTCCCCCAGCCCCTGAGTGGACAGCGGGGTTGTCCCTGCATACACCCCACAGAGCAGGGGGGCTGAGTCCACAAGGGGGCGGGAAGCACTGCGGACGGCTCACCCCTGCTCCGGGCTGAACAGTGTAGTGTTGGGCAGGGAATGCCGCCTCCCTTTCCTCACATGGCCACGCTGCGGCCCTCAGGCGCCCGCTGCCAGGTCTCCACGTGGCCTTGCATTTCAACAGTTACCGTGTCGGACTCAGGGCCTGATACTGAGAGGTGCCGACAAAGAGCAGTCGTAGGTGGTCAGCACTTCTCAGGATCAGCTCTCTGGGGCCAGGAACTGCTCCTTCTCCTAGCTGCACTGTGCCCGCCAGCCACCCCCAGGCCAAATTCAGAATAAAAGACAGCGGAGAACACAACCCTCGGGCCGGAGAATTTGTACCCTCGATTGTAGACACCTGCGAAGGGGAAGCAGGTCACCTCGCTACAGGCCCACAGGGGGGAACCAGGGACATTGTGAAGTATTTCCTTAAGCCCTTTCAATTCCAGCCCACAAGTGAAGTGTGAGCAAAGAGGGAGGAAAGGAAACCCCGCAAACCCCACCAATCTTCAGCTTAGACAGTTAAATCACAAGCTACGTTTTAACTGGAATCATTGAGGACAGATGGTCTCAACAATTCACCAGCCGTTTTTAACTAGACTGAGGGGGGAACAAAACAAAACAGGTAACACGCTTAAGGCAACATTAGCACACCGGTCACTTCCCCCCAGCCACACATGGGAGTCTCCCTGTTGCGTGGCCTTCTCTTTGAGGGGGCTGGCACTCCAGCCCTGGGCTGCTTTTAACAGGAGATTATCCAGGGGCCTGAAGCATCCCTGTAGTTTAAGTTGGGTAAAAGTTGATCCTCAGCTGGCGTATGTCAGCAAGGTGCCAGTGAAGTCATAGGGGATTACGTTCATTTGCACCAGTTGAGGATCTGGCCCAGGGTTTTACAGAGCTGAAGAGACACAGAAAGGTTCAGGATTTTTAAGACCATTTCCTCTGTAGTTATTTCCCACTCCACAAATAATTTTCTCCCATTTGTACCCCAGCTCCTGCAGCAGGGCAGTGAAACTGACAAACAGCGATGCCAACTCAGCTGCCTCCACAATCCAAGCTGAGCAAAGAGAGTTAAAGGCTGGATTTTTTTTTTTTTTTAAAACCCCCCCATTCTCTTTGTTTTTGAGGTGGGACGTTGCCCTCTGCATCCCCTTTTTATGGGGTTTTGATTTTTTTTTTTTTTTTTTAAACAACCCGATGGCATCCCCTTAAGGCCAGGGCCTGGGAAGATTTCACAGAAGGACAGAGCTGTCAGATCAGCAGGGTGCCAAGAAGCAAGGTGAGCAGAGGGGAAAGGCTTGGCCCTGGCACTCAGGACATGGGGCGAGCGACGCCGTCACCATCTCAAGCACAGCACAGGGGATTCCGGCTGGCCTGGTTGCCATCCCGATGCCTAGTGGAGAACGACGTCGACGCAGCTGCATTTGATACAAGCGTTTGTCTGCGGGGAGCAGTGAAAGGTACCGAGCTCCTTTGATTCTCTGTGAATTTGCTGGGAGTTGCAGTTGACCAATGGCAGGGAGGATCCGGCTTCAATATCAAGAACTCCGTTGTCCTCAGCTGCAGCTCCAGTCCTGTTACGGGCGGATCGCGCAGTCCTTGCACGTGTCTCTCCCCAGTGAGGTCAATGGGCACGTTGCAGGAACACGGCCTGGGATTCCTTCACTCCCAAAAGCAACCCAGCCAGCTCTATGTTAATGCTTTAAAGGAGACATGCTCCAGTTAACAGAAGCCTCCCCACACAGCACCATGCTCCCCTGGCTAGGAGACAGGCTGGCTTTGCATAAAATCAAAGGGGAGGAAAGCAGGGCAGCTGAAGAAAGAGTGTCACACGTGAAAGGTACCGAACACCCATTTAATGCAGGAATCAGATACAAGCAGGGAAAGCTGTATCACTCGCGGGTCGTGATCAGTCAAGGGCACCAAGCAAAGACTGCCAGGGTGCTGCTGGAAGGGCCCAGCGGTAGCAAGGCAGGAATCATTTCACATCAGGGCTGCCAGCGTCGCCCCTGTTCTGTATGGGAGTCCCAGACTAGCCGTCAGCACAGCTCCCAGACACACAACAAACTTACCATTCATAAACATATACAGGATACCTAAGGCACACAAGTCACCTCGCTGTTCAGAGTCCTTGCTCTGCCTGGATTCAGCCCGGGTGCTGCCCCTGGCTGAGTGACCATCCAGCTCCGTGCCGGCTGGGGGATCTTCGCCTCGTTGTAGCTCCAGAGGGGGTCACCGGCTGCTCTCCCTGGCAGAAGCAGAAAAGAAGTCCTCCGGCAGCTGTCCTAGGAGCCCATCCAGATCGTCTGCACAGACAGGAGAAGAACAGGGGCTCAAGTCCCTTTCTTCCCCCCCCTTCTTAAAGTTTCCCATTTCATCCCCAGGGGCATCCAGACCCGGTCACTGGGAGTTTAACCCGTTCACCCCAGGAGTTACACTTCCAAGTGGATGGGCCCACTTCTACGAAAGGATTAAACACATTTGGGAAAGGGAAAAATAAGAGATGACATTAGGGGAAAGAGCCATCATGTCTTCCACTTTCTTCTGGGATTTCCTATAGATGGCAGACACGGCCCTTTTGCGATGGCACCAGTGGAAGGCGTCTGGCCTAGTGGGTGGGCGGGCCGGATTCGAGTGCCTGGCACCCGCCACTGGAACCAAGTTTTCAGGAGAGCTCAGCTCCCACCATGCGCCCAACAAGCGGAGCTCTTCGGGGAATCTGGCCCGTAACATCTGCAGCAGAATCTGCCTTACCCACGTCACAGGCTTCAGCCCCCGGAGGCTCCTCTTGGGAAGGTCTGTTTGACCCCGACGTTCTGTCTCCATGGCAGGGTGGTTCCGTCCACCAGCTGCTGTTTCCATCCCTCCTGGAGCTCCATGTGCTGCTGGGGTTGGGAGCACCGCTGGAGAGATTTTCTGGGGAGTCCTGCTGGAATTCAGCCGGGCTTTGGACCTACAAAAAGCCAGACCCAAGTGAGATGCTCTGGGCTTTCCCTTGGTTTGCTCTCAGCACCACAGCATCAGACCCTCATTTCCTGATGTCTCCCATGGCAGTACATCCTCCCCTATGGAATCTCCTTAGTTCCCCAAGTTCCTTCAAAACACCCCCCTGCAAGAACTTGGACATCGGTTCCTCCTGAGTCCATCAGAGCCCCTCCTTCAGCCCCCTAGCCATGCTCAGCTTCTTGGCACAGCACTCCCAGACCTGGCCAGGTCTGCTTTCGGAAATACCTCACAGAGCACAGGAGACGCCCCCAGCACAGCTCTCTGCTCGGCATTGCACTGTAACTCTAAGGACACTGGCACCGTCCCGTCTCCCATCTCCCCAGGCTCCTGCGACGGCTGCAGGGGGCTCCCGGCCCTGGACTCCGGCAGGTAAATCTTCACCAGGTTGTTGGGGGTCACGTTGAGGTAGTGATTGCGGTGGGACGGGGAGAACACCCCCACCTGCAACCAGAGGGAAAGGCTACTCGCCTGGACCCAGAGTTCTCTGGCCTCTGCCTATTCCCCACAGCACTCCCTGCGAGAGGGAAGGGGCAGATGCCATTGGAAAAATAATCAGCACCTCCATAGGGCTTCGCAGATGTCCCTGTTCACCAGCCTCTGTGACAGATGATTGGCAGTGCTGGGGGCCGATGGCCCAGATCCAAAGCTGGGGCAGCGTGGGATAGATGAATAGGCTTCCCCACCCTCTTGGGGCAGGCGGGTGAGTTCAGTCTCTATGGCCTGTTCAGTCACTGGCCTCTGAGGACAGCCAGCCACCTGGGGGGGGAGGGGAGGGGGAACAATCTGTGCCAACTGGTCTCTGCCTACAGAAGGATTTTAATTGAGGATGGAAGAGGTCTCCCTCCTTATCCCATTCATCTCAGAGAATGGAAGCAGTAAGAGACACCTAGTGGCAGATGAATCTGCGTGCCCCTTATTAAATCCACCCCCCCCAGAACTGGAGCCCTAAAAGCATCCCTGTTGCCATAGGGATCTACCTCCAGGAACAAAACCGACCCACCTAAGAGTCCTTCAGTACATAACCCTGGCTCTAATCTCCTTTGCCTCAGGTACCTGCTTTAAGAGAAGCACGGAACCGGCCTTCAGGTCGCTCTGTCTCTCCTCCAGCAGCAGGCGGTGCACTGTCCCCTGCATCTCTCCTGCAGACAGGACAGAGAGAACCCATCAGCAACAGGGGGCAGGTGCAGTCAGACCAACGCGGCTGCCACAGTGCTTTGTGCCATTACGCACGGGGCAAATCCACCTGCGAGGACATAGCCAAGAGGCAGTGCTGACAAGCCACCTGGGGGGGAGGGAATCAGGACAAGGGGGCAAGCTGGAGTGTTACTTCTTCAATGCGCCTCATCTTGCCATTTCCATTCCAGCTTCCTGGCTCTGACAAAGGAGGAGCCCACTGGAGGACACTGCCAGGATCAATCCTGCACTGGCCCCTGGGAGATGGGCCCTAGCTGATCACCATGTCCAATGAGTGACTCCTCCTCCACGCAGCGTGGAGAGGCCTGTGAGAGTTCACAGCTAACAGGAGGCCGGAGTTAGACGGCAGAGGGGTCACGGTCCCGACGGGGAGCAGCAAGTCTCATGCTTGAGGGGCAGCAGCGGATTGCTGCAGGCGTCGGAAAGGAAGCAAACCCACCTACATACAGAACTACACAATCCTGTCTGGGGGCGTTCTGCATCGCACAGGCCACTGCTAGAGGCAGGCTACAGAGCTGATGGGCCATTGATCAGGTCTGATCAGGCGAACAGGATGTGCCTCAGAAGAGCAGAGGGAACCCGAGGACCATGGGGAAAGCCAGCGGACAGGCACTACATATATTTTCAGGTGGGAAACTAGATCTTTGTACGAGGAGGCCAGCCAGCTATTAGCGATTGGTTATAGTTCCTTTGCTGGCCAACAGCCCTGCTCACCTGCCCCAGTGACCCTCAACCCAAAGAGTTAACCTCTGTCCTTACCGGTAGGATCCTTGAACACGACACCAGCGTCAACGTTGGTGCGCGTCAGTGACTTGATCATCACCGCCATGCTAGGGACCTTGTTCTTCGGGAGCTGCTTCAGCGCTGCCTGCACAGAGGACAGACAGAGAACCATTGCCTATGGCAACTCGCTAAAGCGGAGAAAGGGTCACCTTTGCGCTGGAAGTCCTGACCTGGGAATTCAGGAGATATGGGGCCAATTCCAGCCTCTGCCACAGACCCCCCTATGTGGTCTTGGGCAAGTCGCTTCCCTTCTCTGTACCCAAATCCCAAAGGAGGACCTTCGCGGTGGGGGCTCTCACTATTCGCACTGTCAGCACCAGCACAATGGAACCCCAATCCCCACTGGCGCCTGCAGGTGCCACTAACACCAATTACCACAATAAATCTTCAAGGACACGGGGAATTCGGGGCTCCAGGTACGATGCTGCACTCTCATGTTACATGTTCTGCCAAAGGGGTGGGCTAGGATCATGGCACGCACTCGGGGGCCCTCCAGGGCAACTCTGCTAAGAACGTCGCTGGTATCTGATCATGCAGCCCAGGTTTCAAGAGCCCCCCCTCGATGAGCTTAACACAGAAGTGTCTGAACCACACTCATCGCTAAAGGGAGGACGCAGCGCCACAGCTCTGATGTCAGCTAGAAGGGCTCGGAGGCGCTTCTGTCCCTTCCCTGCTGCTCCTCAGCCTGAGTGGCACAAAGGGAGCAGAACGGGGCAGAAAATCTGCCACAGAAGTATTGATTCCAAAAGGACCCGGGGCTGCAAAGGACACCGGTGGCCCTCAGGCTGAGAAGCGTGGACGCCCCTGGATCGAAGCGGATCAGCAGCCTTCAACTTCTAGGCACCATTCTATACGTCCCCTAGAGCGTATGTGTACAAATGAATGGGAGGGGAATGTTACCACCATCTGGTGCATGTGGCTCTTTATAAGCCAGTGTATTTGCAACGTGGCTAGCAGGTGTCTATTTGAATAATAAAGAGACTTCTGCTCACTTCAATCATGGGCTACTTTGATCCTCCGATTAATTTGATCTAGGGCTAAATTATTTTCACTAGCCCCTCTCCTCCCACACGACTTCCACCTCTTAACCCCGACAGCTGTAGAGCAGGTAGAACTGAATAATTCAGTCATTGTCGCTAGACATTTCTCATTGCATTGTAAACAAATAGGCCAAAAATTCTGAAGGAAGCAGCCGAATAAAGGGCCCAGGTACAAGTGACAAGTGCTCCTGCTGGATATACAAGATCAAATTGCTTATTTCAATCAAAGCATTAGCAATGAACTTGGTCAAAGTCAGAGGGAAGCTCAGAAATCCTGTCACAGGCACTTTTTGTGGTTAGCCAAGTGGAATGCTGGGATGAGACTCAACTACCGGCAGGTGCTGAGTTCTGGATGATCCTTCACTAGATAGAAGCACCTGTGCCTATTTGAATGTGGTCAATCAAGTATAATCACCTGGTTATAGCAGACATCTGGGTGTATTAGGCACCATGCCAGCGTAACTTGACTACTGTTTGTAAACGGCTCTGAAGAGAAAAGTGCCATGTGTGGCTGTCCATATAATAAATTATTTCGTGCGTGAGCCTTTAATAACCATTTTTAAGACACTAGTTTGTGCAGGGAGATGATAATTCCCATGGGTCACTGCATCTTAGCGGGAACAGTCCTGGGGCAATGGGATACTATTTGATCCTGGGATTCCATACTCTGCAGATGATAGGATCTAGCTCCCTGGGGCAGCAGCAGGGACATTACCGTGGTTGTGAAAATAGGACTACTGAACATGCTTTGAAGGGAATGACCGCTCAACTGAAGCCAGATTAGTTTTGAGCTCCCGTGGTCAAGGCGTGCAGGCCAGCAGGCTTCTCAACTCGCAGGGGGGCTCCAGGAAGGTAGCAGATGCTGGACCCCGTTCTATCTTGTTGGATCTGCACTGCACGGCCGGGGAAGCCAAAACTATCAGGTGGTTAGAGAGCCTGGACAAAACCCCGGGGGAGATGCCAGTGCAGAGGCAACACAGAGGAGCTGAACTCGTCTTACCAGGAAGTAGCCCTCACACCCAGCACAGGCCCCTCCTTACCTTCCTCAGCACCATGGCCACGCTATACGTCCTGAGGAAACAGGAGGCGTCTCTTTCATCCAACCGCAGCTCGGTTTTCATGGCAATCCAAGGGCCTTTTCCAAAGTCCTCGTCTATTGGTTGCTGGGAACTCGGCACTTCCTGGAGTCACAGGATGGATATGGTCACTATGTTCAGAATCAAGGTAAAGTTTCTCTTGTACTAGCATTTCTTTGACTATGCAGAGACAAAGCCTTTGCTCTAAGTAGAGCATTAGGGGAATGAGAGCTGACCCTCACACCAAATCACCGCTACTCATGAGCGCTCTAGGATAACCCTACCTTTCGATTTGGGTCAGGATCCCAGGTCTAGGCTTGGAAGGATTAGATTTTTAATCGATAAATGTCGATTTCACTGAACACACACACACAAGCCAACAAAAAAAATATTTCCATCAATAAGAATCAAAATGTAGAGACAGGCAAAGAGAGAAAAACGCTGCTTGAGAACTACTCTGAATCCTGTGATTTAGCCTTTTGAATCAGGCTGGTTACAAATGCACTAACAAACGAACAGTAAAAACAGATCTGATTGGTTGATGGAAAGATATTTACTTTGTATCTTTTGACATGAGATGCTGACAATGTGTGTTAACGGCTTGTAACGCTTTAACTTTTTGAATCTCAGTGTCTAGTGTCATTAAATGACTATGAATCCCCTCCCCAGAATTTCCCACAACTTTGAAAATTTAAAATAGATAAAAATCTAAAAAAAATGCTTAAAATAAACATTGCTATTATCAGTCACAATTATTTAAAGAGAGAGATCAAATTCTGCCAACCCTACCAGTATCTGAGGTCTGGTCTACACTTAAGTTAGGTTGACATACCTAAGTTAGTCAAAGGTGTGAAAAATCCAGGTATGCTGAACCTAATCCTAGCATAGATGCAGCTATATTGACAAAGGGTGCTTTCGTCGACCTAGCGCCCATCGTCCAGGGAGGTGGCGTTCCTGCACTGATGGAGAAACCCCTTCCCTCGGTGCATCTGCGCTACAGGATTATGCCAGCATAGCTATGGGGTGTAACTAAGCTGCTGTAGTCTGTGTCGTGTAGACATACCGAGTAAGCCATTAGCAGAAAACCCAGTTTGCGGGCCCAACATGGCTTACATGCTCCAATAAGCGCCATAGGGCTCGTGGTTTTATTTAGGCTAAATTGCAATGACTGTAGACACCAGCCAGGACTACGCCCCGAGGCGATGATTCCACAATCGAGACCGTTGCTGGCGGGGGTCGGAACGGGACAAAGCCCTGGACACTTCCTATGGGAACAATGAATTCTATGTTGCACTGCCGGGGACAGGCGAGATGACCCATTAGTCTGTATTTTCCAATTAATTTCTATGCTGTTTAATGGAGATGGTGCAGGCCAGAGATCCCTGCTCCAACTCCACCCCTGAACTGTGAGAAAAGTTGTAATCTAGGTCTAAGCAATTTCATCTGACATTTCAGGTCTGTCTACCATTCTGGGAAGAGGCCTGGGGTGGATGGACAATGCTCTGCCCCAAGGAGAAAACAAGTGGTCCATTAGCCTCCAGCTGCCGCAAAGTGCCCTTGTCTCAGGGAAGGTTAGCATGCCTGCTCTGAGAAGTTCCTAGCAGAAGATCTGACTGCAGCAGCCGGCAGCTGAGGAGTACAGATCACCAAAGCCACGATGCCAAGGGACCAGTACCTGTGGACTATTCGCTGCCCAGATCCATGGACTGTTCTGAAGCTTTTGGGTCTCTCTGGCTTTGCTAAGGTGCATTTCAACCAACATCTCACAGGCAAATGAGACCCTGATCAGGAGCAGCTTTTGGTACCATGCCTCATGCTGCTGCTGTTGGGTGCAGTCAGCACGGAGCAGCGACATTTTGGGGTGCCGTGCCCAATTTTGACGCTGTTTCTGCTAGAGGTGTATGGAGTGGGGGGAAAACAGGGAAAAAGCGTTACCTCCGTCCTTAGCTTTGCCAGTGCTCCATGGGCTGGAGTCTGAGGAGTGGAAATCAGGATTTCCTCCAGATTTTTCCCACCGTGCTTAGGGGAGAGCAAGAGAGAGAGAGAAAAGCATCTGTTACTTACAACTACAGCTTCTCAGTTGGATTAGGGATGTGCTCAGGACACTCTCAGAGGCAATTGCACCTTTTACATCTCTCATAGCAAGTCTCTGGGGCCTCAAAAGCAAGCCTTCAAAACAAAGAGGTTCTGCTACAAATCTTAGTTAAAGAGCGACAGTCAAAGCTGGACTGGGGTCTCTGCAACTGGGGTCAAGGGAGAGGCGGTGAGCCGGTCTTCCTAGAAGTAAATAAAGCTTCCCTCCTCCACCCATTGAGAAAGCAGCTCCAGCACACACAATGGGGACAGTTCTGCTGAATAAGGGGGTGCCATTTTTTTTTTTTAAAAACACATCCACTTTTCTGCTGACAGCCAAATGTCCAATCCCAAACAAGCACAGCTCTGGGTGCAGACCCAAACAGCCCCCCTCCTGCAGTGGCTGTAACCCAGACATCACAGGCTCATGCTATGCACCAGCTCTGGAAAGTAAGAGTGACACAGAGCTTAACTCTATGAGGGCTCACGCTCAGCAGTGCCTCATATCAAATACAAGCAAAACCGCCCTACGCTTCAGTGATCCCAGAGATAATATACAATTTGCTATAAAAATCGCATAGGAATCTTCCTTTTTCACCCCATTGATCTACTCACAGGTCATATTTACTGCAGTATAACCCCCTTTAGACTGACCCCTGATTAATCACAGTAAGATAGTGGCCCCCAAAGCAGTGTTCCTATCCCCAGTGTTGTCCAGAGGTTTCAAATACCCCTGAAATATTCTGAATGTTGGGGATTCCTAGGGCATGTATTGTTATATCTAGGGCTGGTCTACACTGGCGGCGGGGGGGGGGGGGGGGGGAAATCGATCTAAGATACGCAACTTCGGCTACGAGAATAGCATAGCTGAAGTCGACGTATCTTAGATCGACTTCCCTCCCGTCCTCACGGGACGGGATCAACGGCCATGGCTCCCCCGTCGCTCTGGTGGCGTTCCGGAGTCGACAGGGAGCGCGTTCGGGGATTGATTTATCGCATCTAGACGAGACGCGATAAATCGATCCCCGATAGATCGATCGCTACCCAACGATCCGGCGGGTAGCGTGGACGTACCCCTAGATACCACCACCCAGATCCTCAAAAGGTATTTAGGCAACTAACGCCTACTGAAATTGAGGGACGTTAAGTACCTAAATACGTCTCAGGACTGGGGCCTACATGGCTATGTAGCTGCCTCTCTGATCACCATAAAGATGGGAGGACGTAGGTAATGCTCCCCATGACCCCACACGCACAAGAAAAATCTAGGGAAGTCATGCCTTGCTTGCTCTGAAGCCAGTGGAGAGTGGGTGCAGTGTGCGGCTCACACCTGAAAGGCAACACACTGATTAGTTCAATCCCTTGGTGTCCCTGTTTGAGTTGCCGTTTCCCACGGAGATCTCAGCCACCTCCTCTGCAATGTGTCCTACCTGATGAGGCAGAATCCCTGCAGGTCCTGGGAAGCGGCGAGATTTCACCCGCGACGGGGTCCAGCCAGAAGCCTTGGGAGTCTTGTTGGCTGCCGTGACCAGCTGCATAAGGTGATTGGTGACCACCGGAGACTGCAGGTTCCCAGCAGCAGCAGCAGCTGAGTAGGGAGCTCTTGGGGTGGAAGTCGGTGACTCCACACAAGTCATCAAGGACCGTGGTCCTGCGGGGTGCCTAAGAGGTGGCCGCCAACTGCTGCTGGGCCCTCTGGGTGTGGAACAGCCCTGACTGGGCATCCGTGGTGCTGGTGGCCTTGGATTGCCGCTCCCTGGGGAGTGGAGGCTTGGAGCCTTTACTGGAGCCACCGAAGGGCTGCTTGCTTCGGTTCCAGGCTGACCCCGAGATGCTTGAAAAGGCCGCGAAGCGTGGCACCTGGGAGCGGAGATGGTGCCACAAGCCATGCCTGCAACAGTGCTGCCTTGTGGGACTGCATTCCCCAGGGAGCTAGCCGGAGCTACTAGGCTAGACTGAGAGGAGCAAGAACCTGCCGTGCTCGGCCTCAGCTTCAGTTTCAGAGCAGGGTCCGCCTGCTGGAACGGGGACCGATTCTGCATTCCGCCTGCCCCCATCGAGATGGCCCGAGTCCCCTCGTGCTGCAAACAGACTGAGCCACCACGGCTAGGAGTTACCATTGGCTCTCCCACCCGAAGCTTTTTGAAGGCTGTCCCTCCAGGGCTACTCTCGTCCCTCCTGCACACCTGAGGGGGCATCCCCTTCTCAGCCACGGCAGGCCCAGGACCTGGCTGCAGGCAGGCTGCCAGGAACAGGTCATTTTCAAATTCATCATCACGGGGAGCTTCCTGAAGGGGAGGCTGTCGGCTCACAAACTTAAACCCTGCTGCCGAGCTGCAGCTTGGTGTGCAGTCCCTCGTGCGGTTTGAAGTGCGCAGGGCCGGTGCTGCCAACGTGGGGGCCACCTGATTCTTTAGAGTCTTGAAGCCCACAGCTGGAGGATCCACAGTCCGATCGTTCACCACCGTCAGAGGCCTCAGGCCAGGTGTTTTGCTGGAGGGGCAATCAGCCCCAACTCTCAGTTTGGGAAGGTTCTGCAGCCCAAAGACTGGGGACAGCAGGCTGGTACTGGGAAGAGCAGGTAGTGGGGAATTTTGAGCTGGTGCCAGGGGGGTGCCTGGGTCTCTGGGCCCAGAAGAAAAGGGCCTCAAGCATCTTGAATTCACAGGGACCAAATCTGAGAGCTGGTTCTCCGCGTCCTCCACGGCCGACAGGAAATCCTGCAAAAGCAGACAGGGCACCACAAAGATCAAGCTGTCTTTACACGGGATGCTCCAGAGACTCAACTAACCTGGCCCTTTAACTTAAGAACCCAGCACAGCTACAAAGGTCCTAAGATCAGAGACTTGCTATAGTTAGCCCTAGACCAGGACCATAAAGCACAGCTGGACACAAGGACCAATGTAAGCTTGAGACAACGGCAGCTATCGGGTCCATAGTTTGCAGGCCTGTTCTCTCGTGCTATATACGAGTACTTGACACCATTTGAGAGCTGGGAGAGACATTTTGTCCGCACGTCCTTTGATAACTATTGGGGTCATTAGCAGCCAGAGAGGTTTCTTTTACTTATTTGCCGATCAAGGGTAAATCACAGAATCTACACAGCCCTGTGCTTCAGCTCAGTGAGGGGAGACAGGCCCCACCTACACTACGCCTTGCAAGTGAGTCCCCCGACTTAATTATAGGGCTGGCGTAAATAGGGACTGAACTGAACTAGGAGGCAAGATTCTCTGGGCCAGGTCCTCAGGCGGTGTGAATGGCTGTGGCTCGGTTGAGGAGCCAGCCCACCGACCCATTAGCAGCCTGCTTCACCTAGGAAGCAAGAATCCTGCTCCGCCCTCGCCTGCCAGTTCTCTCCTGGCCCACCACAGTTCACAAGCATTTCCTCACCTCGTCTTCCAGCTCCTCTTCCACAGCAAACAGCTTCTGCAGCCTGCAAGCCTGGGAGGAGAGGGAGAGAGACGGCTTCGTTTGCAAGTACGTTCTGCCCAGACAGCGGCCTCTCTGCCCACTTCTTATGCAACACCTGAATCGCCAGGTTTCTTTTACTTTGGGGTTTAAGCCCACAGGGGCCTGTGGCAGGCCACAGACA